CACATTTCTTCAAGATTCAGTCATCTGCATTTCCCTACAGTGTACAATGTGTATGATAAAGATGCATACATGGAGAAAAGTAATGTGGTTGTTCGAAACACATATTTCACTGTTTACCTTTTTGTGTTCAGGTGAATCATATCCAGAGTTGTCTCCCCTCAACGATAACTGACACTCGAGCAACAACTTTGAATACGCCACACTTTGACAACCGCACGTCACCTGGCATTGTCCTTTACACCCTTCTATACCAATGCGTCATAGCAGCACCAGCACTAACGGAATAATAGCAACATCAACGACATTCCATCTACGGAAGGAATCATACAACTATATGGATAGCAACTTCTCACATCGACATCAAGCCTAAAGTCTGCAAACAATCATTGGGGCGTCAACATGGAGACTGGGCGGTCGTCATCGTCGCTTTAGCTTGATCATGGGCGGATCCAGGAAATTTGAGGAGGGGGTGTTTTGTTAAAATCCCTGAATCCCCTGGCTCCGCCAACGCAATTTTTCAATGCGGTCTTAAGTCATTTTTCAAAGGGGTTCCGAACCCCTGACCCCGATCCGCCACTGTTGATAACGGTGTAATATGCTTCACTCGATGCAATAAACAAAGAAGTTGTTATCTTCCTAGAATGTTGATCAAAACAATATAATATGTCCATCACAAAATGTTGTTTTTAAAAAAAAATATGTCATATATGTATGCACTACATTGCAGTTAACTTTTAAAGTTTTAACACAGGAAATGTTGATGAATTCACCATTGCTATCCTTAAATATCGGAATAAAATAATTCTTCATTTAACGTTAACGCAGAATACATGTACTTACTTTTCCCAATGATTGAGTCTCCGTTCAAAGTTATTGCTAGTAAAAGCAAGACAAGCCACAGACTGTAGCGAGACCATTCTCGCCATTGAGCCGTGCCGACACCTATGTGCTTCAGGTACGTTACTGTGTATCAATAACACATGTGTTGAGAACATTGTCGGGCTGGTTGATCCTTTCAGATATGTATCGTGATTCTCAGACTTAATTCCATCAGAGTATGCACACTCAAAGTAACCGTTTAATTTCCCATCACAAAGCAAGGCCACGAGTAAACTAACTATCGGAGACGACATTACGACATATCTTAGGTAATATACCTGTATGAATTACCTCTTGTAAATGTCATTGAAACAGTGATAGCTGATACGTTCTTGAAATCTTTCTGCTGAGCTATTTCACCAAAAATTCCAGTGCAATTAAAGTGTTCAGTCTGGTGATTACGATTGCGTAGTAGTACAATCTCACGTTTATTAATATCAACAGGCTGATTGATTCATGTAAATACACCCCACTAAAGGGTGTATCCTATTCACGTGTTTTATTAGTCTACATTATTTTGCAGAACCAATTAGATCGGGTATAATTTGAATTATTTCATCATGCTTTGAAAATAGGTGAATTTTCACGTTACATGCACTGAGACAATTAATCCTGTAAAATGATTAAAGCTGGCGATTCATTCTCGTAATTATTAGGATAATGGTTGGAAGTGAGTTATTATATAACCCATTCAGATACTTATATCGTACGTGCGTCCTCTTCGACAATTAAACTTAAGTCAAAATAAAAAAGATAGATTTATGTACAAAGGCATAAAATTTAGGTGTCTCTCGCTTCTGACTCGGATCATTATATTATTATATTCGGGTGGTGGGTGGTGGGGGCCCTGAATTAATGGTTCAAGCATCGCTCGGGTTCGATTCCCCCACATGGTTACACGTGGTATTGCTGGAATATTACGAAAATAAACTCACTCACTTGCTCATTCTATGCAGATTTGGGTACACTGGCGTGTCTGGTGTGTGTAAGGCGCATTTTAACATTCCAGCAATATCAAAGTGAGGTACATGTACCAGGGTTGGAGCTTCATTGGACGAGGGTGTTTATAATTAGTGTGACAGATCAGCACTGTTACAACTAAGGTACCACGCCTTCCGATGGAACCATTAAGGGGAGACAATTTTACGCACTGTGTTGCCATGTTAACATTGCATACAAAGCATTCGATATACCGTGATTGGGTAGCTATACAGCAGAATGTAGACTGAAGATTCTTGATAGTACACACCTTATATCCTTTGTCGTCCAAAGAAACGCACTGTTGAAACAACGAGGCCTTCATATGGTCGGTTGGTTACGTTGGGCATGACTATGAATCGTGTGTCATCCTGGTTACATGAAAGCGACAAAGCCCTTCCCGTGCTTATTAGGACTTACAACGAACCAGAACAATATGAGCCGTATTACGTCAACAATACGAGTAGCACAGCGTGAGTGAGTATAGTTTTACTCCGCTTTTAGCAATATTCCTGCAATATCACGGCACGGGACACCAGAAATGGGCTTCACACATTGTACCCATGTGGGGAATCGAACCCGGGTCTTCGGCGTGAAGAGTGAACGCTTTAACCACTAGGCTAGCCCACGGCCACGAAGAACAGCATGAAATACTACAGATCCAGAAGCTGCTGGTTGAAATGCCGCCGATGTTTTGAAAGTGTATAACATTTCTATCATACAGGAAATTTAGACGTTGAAAGAATGTCTGGTCACTACGATAGTTACCTATCACATATCGATATCCCCATTAAAAGCTAATGTATCGTATTTTTAGTTCAACCGAATCAGTAAAACGCTATCGCACTGGATTGTCTGGTCAGACTCCATTGTTTACGGATCGCCCTCGTATGGTAGGATTATTAGACTGTTTTATGAAGATTTATTTTTATGCCGAATTGTGGCCATGGTAGTGGTGTAATGTACAACTGGGTATATAATTTTATGGCTCACTGAAAAGTGAAACATATCATGTACTGTTCATGCACTTCTTGAACTTCTGTGGATAAAACCAAAGGGATTCAACTGTAAATAATAAAAGGAAACAATAAAGTGTTTACCGACATTTTCTTTTCACCAGTTTATTGATTTTATCAAAACTGCGAAACTGGTTTTACGATGTTTTGAGCAATATTTCAGCAAAATTATATACTCCTCACAAAAAGTTAAGCAACATTATTTTCAGTGGAACATCTTTAGCAATCTCGATAGCGATCTTTGCTACCTTTAAGTGACTGTCAAATTGATTTATCTGATAACATTGACAACATCACGAACACAACCACCCTCAGAAATAGCATGCAAAATGTGTGAGTATGAATGTGCTCCACTCTTCACACCTGCACCTGATCGGTGTAAACCTACCTGTAATCATTCCTCTGGTACAACAAGCGGGTCCTAACTCCATTTTATGGATGATAATGCCCGTCCATGGATGCTAATGCCAGAGAATGAGTTGTTTAATGATGTTGGTTTGAGATCAACAACATCGCACATATGGACTGGCCAAAGGTCACCTGATCTAAATCCTATTGAACATGCTAGGGGCGTTGGTCTCCATGTTCACCCCCAGACTCTGGATGACCTTTAGCAGGCGTGGCAAAGAGAATGGCTGAACATTCCCCAACAGCAACTTTAAAGGCTCATTTGGTCAATGCAAAACGTAGAAGCTTGCATATGTGCTTATGGTGGTGATACGCGTTACTGAACACCTGCTTCACTGTCCAAAGCCGAGCTTGAACCGTTAATGTTAACATTGTGTTCCATCAATGCAGCACATTATGCACCACTGTTTCTCAGGTACTAGCTTTTGATGATTTGTAAGTCTATGGTTGCTCAATGCCATTTTATTTCATTTGTTCATTGTGTTCATAAGTTTCACCTTTCTATTGCATCATTCCATGTTTTGCAATTTCAATAAATGAAAATGTAATGAGACAAAACATTTGTGTTGCTTAACTTTTGTAAGGAGTATACAATAGTACCAATACCAGAGAATTGAACTCTTCGGTGTAAAGAGTGAACACTTAAACCACAAAGCTATTGAAAATGCATGTGTATAACAGTACCGTCTAAAACAGTACCGTATGTTTGGGTGATCCTGGGGTTTATTATTACTCTGTGCTGTATTCCTCGAGGTCACAAAAGCATCCAGAATTATTTCAAAGACCCAATGCCTGCAATTATCTTGAAATTTAACAGAATATTAATGTACATATTTTGTACAATTGCGCATTGATGGCTGCTCGGTCCTACATAAAGAGAGTACACCCACAACTTCATATAATGTTGCTTTCGCTCACAGGTGAAAACCTGATTCATATACATATGTAATAGAAAATAGGAAAGAGATAAGAGCTGGAATACAACATATCCGGAAGATAAAGAAACTACTCCGACGTCAAGTGGGAACGGCGGCGTCAGCCAGTCCGGTTCGTTTGATCTTACAACTTACATGAAGATATTTATTGTTACCATGCCTCGGGTTCAGCATTACGGGCGTAAACACATGCACACCATTCAGTGTGAGAAATTGTTTCCACATTTTGCAAAGCCAGTCGGGATAGCTATGCCTGAAAGTTACTAGCCACAGAATATTTAACTAGTCAGACATTTGAATGTAGACACAGGTTTCATCATTAAGCTGCTAATATGATGAACATTTTCATCAGGCCATAAACTTGCATGATTTAAAAGTGTATTATAACTTAAAAAGTCTGAGAGAGTGATATATTTATAAAATGACCCCATGAAAATTCACTAGCCAGTCGGGCCAGTGATTGTGGAGATTTAGTGGCCCAACTGGATTTTTAAATGCCACGGGCTAGTGGGCCAGTGGCTATTTCGCACACTGACGCCATTATTGAAACTTCCACTATTCCACTAGCCAGGGAATGAAAGAGTATCTTGAACAGCAAATGCCAGTTGAAGCGTTCCTCACGAAATCCCGAGGTTATACCCAGTTGTTTTATTAAAATCGTATATTTATAGTGTCGTAAAATAGATAGAAATATGTGACTGAACATAATACTTCGTTTCGTTTCCTTAGTGGTATGATTCTCTAAAACGAGAGTTACTTCCCCTAGAGAACATTTTAATGATTTCCCAACAGAAGGAGTTCCAAAGGCGGGAGCTCACATTTTTCAATCAGGAACAAACAACGTTTTGTGATTATTGTAAACATAGTGTGTGAGCTATGATTTATTCTACAAATCCGACACCTGAAGGTGTTGGGAAACTGCTGTCGGAACCCTCTGAGACACATTCGTATGTAAGAGCGGCTACCAAGTTGGTAGATCACAGCGAAAGGTTTCTCGTGAAAGATAGAAACTTTGGCCGGCAGTATGCTCATCTGTATGCGGAAAGGCTGTTGACGATGAGACCGAAACTAATCGAAGCTGCTAAAGATAAATGGGGTAAAAGTGCTTTAACGAGATTAGTTATCAGGTGCATATTTACACATACATTACAAATTTAGTAATAAACGCAATGATCTGTTGCTTCCTAATGACAGAGACCATATACCGGTATATGGTCTCTGCTAATGAGCTGTGTACTGATAATCAGTGTTTTCGCAGGAAGGTGCATCATGTGGTTACATAATTTTGACTAGCTCATTTTATGTCCCTGTTTCTCGGCGATGTGGACCTTTCTTCATACAGTCAAGACAGCTAGTGATTACTTAAACTGGAGAATTTACAGACTACTTTGGCCTGTCATCATGGTCATGGTTGAAGTCATTTCTCATTGCAACAGTAAACATGGTTCAACAAAAAGGCAGGAATATTTGGATGTCAACATCTTTATTCTGAGGAACATTACACTTCATAGTATGATCTTACTCCTTCATCAGGTGAAATGAAGCATCTCTTATAAACTCCTTGTCTACTCTTCGTGCTACAGTAGTTGGCCATAAGTGAGTCATCATTAGTGAAATTTCCATAGACTTTCATGTTAATTATCTGTTGCAAGAATAATTTTCATAAATTGTGTAGAAGTCACTTTATTTTGATATTTTGCAAACATCTTGGAAATTATCTTCTGCTACGTGTACGTAATTTTCTTTCATCTTTCCGTTGATTAGTTATCGAATGACACCTGATTAAACGCCATAAGTACAACTTAATTTTAATCTATCCCATAGATAGCCATGTTAAACCTGATTGGTATGTCTAATATATGTTGTTTAAATAGTCGTAGTTTTCTTAATATATATAATCATCTGAAAATTGAATGGAAATTATGTGTATGTAGCTGAGATGATTCCCAGCTGGTAGACAAGTATTAAAAGCAAATCGACTGGAATGTAAGTTATTCCTGCAAGAGTTAATTAACATGCAAGTCTATGGGAATTTCACTGATGATGACTCACTTGTGACCAACTACTGTAGGCCTGGGATTGGTAACTTAAATCCTCAGATGGGTCAAGAGTACACCTGTGTACTCACAACCCGGACCGGTGGATATATTACAGGATGTATTCTTTACTGATGAGAACAATAAAACTCCACGGTTACACAACAAGTTGCTTATGTTTGCATTTCTCTCTGACTTGTAAAGATTAATAAGGCATCTGTCAGTTTTAGGGGTGGGTATTGCAGAGAATTTTCATATTGCGATGCGGAAGCATGTATTGCGATATGTATTGCAATATATTGCAAGGATTTTTTTTTTAACAAAAACTACTTATAATTGAGTTAATGCTTGATTATAAAGCAAAAACACAACAAAATCACTATGATTGATTAACCTCTTATAAAAACTTTTAATCATGACAAAATAGAAATGTAAGTAACATATGGCACTAATGAAACAGGGAAAAGAACAATATATCCGAAATATCCGAAGATTTCCGACTGTTTCGAAGTTGTCCGAATGCATGTCAAAATACCGGTTTTCGATCAGCGAATTGCAATACGTATTGTTTTCATGTCTGAACCAGTAAATACCGGTAAACCGGTTATATTACGCAGCCCTCGTCAGTTTTAATGTATGTATGATGAGATCCACTTGTACCTGTATCAAAATAGTTTTTGCAATGGAAAACAATTCCTGATTCCCAAGACACAGAATGACATGACATGAAACATTTTAGGCACAGTACACACTGATAATCATGATAATTTTTATTCAATTACATCCTCAACATTCAGTTCCAAAGGCAACTCTTTGCTGGGTTACTAGGTTGTATGCAGGTTTTTTGTCATGTTTCAAAAGTTAACATCTTTGTTAAACAAAAATGGATGTCAAATATTGTTCATGTATATGTTGTTTACAGCATGTTATATAAGCCACCAGTCACGATTGTTCAGTGTTTGAAATAAATATTATGTATTTTTCTAGGGGCTGACATCAAAATTAGGAAGCTGCATGAACTGAAGAGTGACGAGAAGTGTGTGGTAATCGGAACACTCTTCAAACACATGGAACTGAAGCCAAGTATCCTCAAAGAAATTAGTGAAGAGGTTAGTATATTATGTAACTTCTCTTCATTATGCTCATACATTCACCATTTCATGAAACACCATAACTGGACACTTCGACAATAGGCTGAGTTCTTATCATTGTGATCAGTCTGATAGTGACTAATACATTGTTATGCAGGGATTTACAGGACACGAAGTCCTTCGTACTATACGCATAAAAATTGACAATGTACACAATGAAATTTATTAGCATGTCCACAGGGACGTAGAAAAAGTCCAAATATATTTTGTAAAACTTTCCATCAAGTACAATAAGTTATCACTGAGTCTGCTACTAGCTGAGTTATGGTATCATTTGCAATTTAAATATAATATTAGGGCACGAATGTCAACTGGGTGTGGCCTTGAATGAACTGTGAATGAACAGTGACACACTTGTCAGTTATTTCTAGCCTGTGTTTTATCCCTAACATACAGTTTTTACATAACCGCTAGTCCATAATGAACAGTGGACTATTTAAGCAAGACAAATGGTGTCTATCTCTGCTCAGTCATTTGTAAAGATTAGTAATTATTTTGAAATGTCTTTTCATTATTACATAAGTACCCAACAGGCTGAATCCAGTGCAGTAAAAATACTGAAAAGTTGAAGAGGGGTGAAATTCTGAAAATAATTCTGTGTGTGTAAATATATACACCATAAACGATCAATGGCTTAGAAACTTGTGTGGATCACTTGTTTCCATATCTAATCTTGATTTCACTTTCAATGGTGGAGATGGGTATTAGTAGTAGTGGTATTTTTTGCAATATTTCAAGAAGTGAGCCAATCAGATATGTAGATACTGTTGAAGACCGCAGGTCATTAAGAAGAAGGTAATGTCCGAGTAACTCTCCATTCCTTAAAAATAATGCAGCCGAGGCACATTATTTTTAAGGAATGAAGAGTTATGAGGATATTACCCTACTTAAATTACATTCAAAGTATTTGGACTATTTCTGTTATCAAAATTCAATGACAAAATGAAGGCTTTAATTTGAAACTGGTACACATCGCTCCATTCCTGAAAAGTATTGGAGCGAGCAGACAATGGAATGACTTCACAAATGTAATTTAACTGTTATGATTGAAGGCTTATAGTATCTACTATTCCCCCCCAGCTGATGTAAGACGTAGTACGGCAATTGACATTATGGGTCTACTTGTTGTTTCAGCACAACTTGATGCCACAGCCGGTCCGGTCCCGCTACACTGATGAAGCTGACAAGCTGCTGTTGGAGGATGAACTACAGAGAATTTATCTGCTTGGAAACATGAAGGTGGACACATCAGTCACAGGTACACAGGGTGTCTGTCAACATGATCAGTAGGGAGGAAACATGTCTCCTCAGGGTTTTATTGGAAACGTTGCATCCTATATGCATGAATTTAAGAATGGAGGCAAATTCTGTCCACTTTGAGTTCTGCTGTATACAACAGAGTATGGATGCTGAACTCATCATTTAAAGATTTATCAGTAATACAATCACTGTTTGAGTAGTCAGTGTCAGATTTTCAAACCAGGAACCCTTCCTATGTGACAGGTGTGATCGTGGCCGTGTATGGTGTTGAGCCTGAAGATGACAAGGGCAAGTTCCATGTTGAAGACTGGACGTTCCAGCTCCTGCCCGCTCAGGTGGACAGGCCAAAACTCACAAAAGACAGGTATAGTTTGAATACATTACGCAGGATGTAAGTCTCCCTACTCCTCTCTTGTCAGAAGTCATTTTTGTCCCCCGTCGGACTATGTATTTAGCAGCGTCCACCCGGACGTCACAATTCTTGTTAATGCGATATCTCATGAACTGTTGTACCCAATGTCTCCAAATTTGGTGACAGCCTACATTGGGGGATTATGCAGACACCAGTCGATTTGGGTGACCTTGACCTTATTTTCAAGGTCACCACAACACTTTGACCACTTTTCCAAAGCTTGTTAACGCGATATCTCATGAACTATTGTCCCCATTGTCTTCAAATTTGGTGACAGCCTACATTAGGGGATTACGTAGACACCAGTCAATTTGGGTGACCTTGACCTTATTTTCAAGGTCAACACGCCACTTTGACCACTTTTTAAACTCTTGTTAACGCGATATCTCATGAACTGTTGTACCCAATGTTTCCAATTATGTTGACAGCCTAATCATTGGGTGATTATACAGACACCATTCATTTCAGGCATTTTTTATCTGACAAAAATGCAAAAAGTAGTAAATATGTAAATATTTCATTTTTGTTTAAAAGGTTTGGTTGTGTTTTGTGAGTTAAACGAACACATATATATGTAAGAGCTTGGATGAATTTTACAGTTATGTGGCCTTAATGTCTGGTTTGGACATCGGGGCCAAGTCCGAGAAGCTGTTCCAGCTTCAGATGTTTATTGACCTGGTGACCGGGCAGTTGGGGGATGAAGGGCAGCAAGAAGCATCAGCAAACATTGTTCGCGTCATCTTTGCAGGGAACAGCCTCAGTGGCTCTCTACAGGATAAAGAGAGTTTGAACAAGGTATTCAGTGATGTCTGATGAATAGCCCAGGAACCCTTAGGTCGACCTGCTCTTCAGGATGTGTAGCTGTAACTTATTTCACATGGTTTGAAGGAGTCCCAGTGTTTAAGATGTACACATGTGATTCCGTAAACACCATTGTTCGTGCCTTAATCCCTCATTTGCTTAGTGGTAAATGTCCCAAATTCTCATCGTTTTGACCTCCCATCATTCATTTATCAAACAGTGATGCTGTGACATTTGGGTTGAAATGTCATTGATCCTACTCCATCACAAGATTTATTCTGCATACTTTTTGGAGGATTATTAATTAAAAAAGCATCATATTATACATAATTCTTCCAATTGCAGCTTGACTGCCAACCCTGCAGAATATTGCTTACTGTCATAAACATAAAAGAATGTTCACTTGTTCACTCTCAGGTGGATTTGCATCTCAGCAAGTTAATTCTCAATATTGGACATTTCAGGCAAAATATCTGACCAAGAACACAACAGCAGGAACTGTGGAGGCAATGAAAAGTTTAGACGATGTCGTCACACAGCTCGCTGTGAGTAGTAAGCAGTAGAATCCCTTTGATCACACGCACATTTGGAAAACTTTTTGAATATTTAATTCAGTATAATTTGATTCAATCTGGTGTTTTACTGCAGTCATCATTGTTTCTGCTGGCCCAATGTGAGTGGGATTTCAAGCCAAGTGCATTTGTCAACCATTTGATTTTGTACGATGCATGTTATGCACCTGTAAGGTAATATGAGTCAGTTTATTTTTACGCCACCCTCAGCAATATTCCAGCTATATGGCAGCGGTCTGTAAATAATCGAGTCTGGAACAGACAATCCAGTGATCAATAACATGAGCACCGATCTACGCAATTGGGATACGATGACATGTCAACCAAGTCAGCGAGCCTGACCACCCGATCCCGGTAGTCGCCTCTGACAACAAGCATGGGTTACTGAAGATAGATTCTAACTCGGATCTTCTCCCACAAATCATGGGGTGTAATATAATATGAGATATGCCATGCATCAATAAGTTTTGTATGTGTGTGATATGCCATTTCAGTCATGCGTTGATGTGGACATTCTCCCTGGGGCAACTGATCCTACAAATCATGTGCTGCCACAACAGCCCTTACACAGATGTATGTTTCCCCAGTCCGCAGCATACCCCACCATGAACACTGTCACCAACCCCCTGGATCTCAGCGTGGACGGAGTCAGGTATGTTCCCCAAGTCCTCCCCACCATGAACACTGTCACCAACCCCCTGGATCTCAGCGTGGACAGAGTCAGGTATGTTCCCCAAATCCTCCATTAAACACACATTCCGAACCATGAAAACTGTCAGCAAACCCCCTGGATCTCAGCGTGGACAGGGTCAGGTATGTTTCCCAAGTCCTTCCACCATGAACACTGTCACCAACCCCCTGGATCTCAGCGTGGACAGGGTCAGGTATGTTTCCCAAGTCCTTCCACCATGAACACTGTCACCAACCCCCTGGATCTCAGCGTGGACGGAGTCAGGTATGTTCCCCCAGTCCTCCCCACCATGAACACTGTCGCCAACCCCCTGGATCTCAGCGTGGACGGAGTCAGGTATGTTCCCCCAGTCCTCCCCACCATGAACACTGTCACCAACCCCCTGGATCTCAGCGTGGACGGGGTCAGGTATGTTCCCCCAGTCCTCCCACCATGAACACTGTCACCAACCCCCTGGATCTCAGCATGGACAGAGTCAGGTATGTTCCCCCAGTCTTCCCACCATGAACACTGTCACCAACCCCTTGGATCTTAGCGTGGACGGTGTCAGGTATGTTGAGGGTGTTACTGTTTTTTTCTCTAGTGAGTTCAACATGCTTTCATTATTTGGTTAGGTGTAAGAACAGGAATTACAAAAATGTGAAAAGTACAGAAAATAGTTCCTAGCACTAGCAGCATGGTTAAAAATATTTCTTCAGATATAGACCTCTTGTAATGGTTGCATTTTGTTTGCAGGACCAGAGGCTTAAATCATTTAACCCTTCCCCAAATTCTCAAATCGAAGCAGAGGAATATTTGAGCCAAACTTGATTCAAGTTTATAGGAAGCTCATGTTGAAGCTTATGTTCTCAAATCATCATCAGTGTTATTCTTCATCCCTTTGTGGCCTGCTTATTGCTTCTACTTGCGTTCTGCCATGTGATCTGGGTGCTGGCAGTTTCATGTGTTAAATGTGTTGTTATGTTTCGTATCATAGTCAATAATGTGGACATCACCAGAGTGGCTAGTCTGAAGGGAGATAACTCATGACACCTTGTATGTCCTGGTGGTTCTGACAACTTTGTAGAAGTCGTTGCAACACTGTAGACATACCCTCCTCATTGACCCATTGACTTTAATTACCTATTTGAAAATGTGAGAATGTCGATAAAAGGGTATCACAAGAGGTAGAAAATGTGTGAATATTAATATAAGGGTATCACAAGAGGTTGAAAATGTGGGAATGACAATATATGGGTATCCCAAGAGGTTGAAAATGTGAGAATGTTAATATAAGGGTATCGCAAGAGGTTGAAATTAAAGAGAATGTCACAGTATAAGGATATTGCAAGAGGTTAAAAATGTGAGAATGTCAATGTAAAGGTATCGCAAGAGGTTGGAAATGTGAGAATGTAAATAGATATGGGTATCAAAAGAGGTTGAGACTATCGATATAAGGGTATTGAAAGAGGTTGAGAATATCAATATAAGGGTATCATCCCAAGGGGTTGAGGATATCAATATAAGGGTATCCCAAAGGGTTGAGGATATCAATATAAGGGTATCCCAAGGGGTTGAGGATATCAATATAAGGGTATCCCAAGGGGTTGAGAATATCAATATAAGGGTATCCCAAGGGGTTGAGAATATCAATATAAGGGTATCCCAAGAGGTTGAGAATATCAATATGAGGTTATCTGAACATGTTGAAAATGTCAATTTGTGGGTATCCCAACAGATTTTTGGGGACCTCCGGGCAGCCAGTTCAAAACATCTGGCGATACAGCACGCTGGAGGATGACCTGGATATCCTGGAGAAGACCCTGGTGTGGGGACATCTGGCTCCCACAGCACCCGATACACTTGGTATGTCGCACCTGTAACCAGGAGGCTGGTTCAGTGACAGTAGTTACACGTTTAGCACTTCTTGTGTATCGACCAATACATCTGCAGTGTCACAGAGCTACTGACCCTTCTCATTGTGGAGGAAAGGCTGAAAGGAACATGCTCCGTCGTGTTCAGTGTTAGCTTACTGAGTATGACTCAACCACCATTCAATATTTCTCCTTGTAACTTTAATTACAAGTCAGCAAGTGTGCGTCTATATATGTATATAGGTATAAATATCCAGTGTGAATGGTAATTTTAGTAAGTACCCAAAGAAAAGTATGTGGAGGCTTGAACCGTGTTTCACAGTGACCTCAACAAGCTCACTGGACTTGGAAGTCAGTATTCACAATAGTACATCCATAAACACATTGTTTGCTTACTCTTCCATACTCCGCACCAGTTCAGTGTTGGAAGCCTCACACATCGATCGCAATCAAGGTATAATAGGCAATGAGACAAGAATTTGGGAGTAAGACTGCAATTCTTTATGTGGAGTTATGTCCTTTGTCTCCAGGATTGCCTGTCATGGATTAGATTCAAATATTTACCATGATTATGATTGTATTGTAGCAGAGGGTGTTTGCAATGGTCTGTGAAGTTCCTAATTTCAACTATTTTCACAAGCAAACAAAACTCGTATTTCACCTTAATAGGACCAATATACATTAAGTGAAATGCTGAAATACCTCGAGGTCATTGTAGGGCAGGTTTCTCACCATGCCCCATATTAACTCAAAATCGTGTAAAACCCTACTCACTCGCTCACCTTGGGGAGATTCCGTTCTAGAATGTATCCCCAGCAACCTATGCTGCTGTGAGCAGGTAACATGGCTCTGTTGATCAGGCTGGGTGACGTGATGGTGTACCATTGTATCCCTATAGCATGGCTGTAAGCAGGATCACACTACAGGATTGTCTTGTCCAGACTCCCGGGGACGTGATGGTGTACCATTGTATCCCTATAGCATGGCTGTAAGCAGGATCACACTACAGGATTGTCTTGTCTAGACTCCAGGGTGACATGATGGTGTACCATTGTATCCCTATAGCATGGCTGTAAGCAGGATCACACTACAGGATTGTCTTGTCTAGACTCCAGGGTGACATGATGGTGTACCATTGTATCCCTATAGCATGGCTGTAAGCAGGATCACACTACAGGATTGTCTTGTCTAGACTCCAGGGTGACGTGATGGTGTACCATTGTATCCCTATAGCATGGCTGTAAGCAGGATCACACTACAGGATTGTCTTGTCTAGACTCCAGGGTGACATGATGGTGTACCATTGTATCCCTATAGCATGGCTGTAAGCAGGATCACACTACAGGATTGTCTTGTCTAGACTCCAGGGTGACATGATGGTGTACCATTGTATCCCTATAGCATGGCTGTAAGCAGGATCACACTACAGGATTGTCTTGTCTAGACTCCAGGGTGATGTGATGGTGTACCATTGTATCCCTATAGCATGGCTGTAAGCAGGATCACACTACAGGATTGTCTTGTCTAGACTCCAGGGTGATGTGATGGTGCACCATTGTATCCCTATAGCATGGCTGTAAGCAGGATCACACTACAGGATTGTCTTGTCCAGACTCCAGGGTGATGTGATGGTGTACCATTGTATCCCTATAGAATGGCTGTAAGCAGGATCACACTACAGGATTGTCTTGTCCAGACTCCAGGGTGATGTGATGGTGTACCATTGTATCCCTATAGAATGGCTGTAAGCAGGATCACACTACAGGATTGTCTTGTCCAGACTCCAGGGTGACGTGATGGTGTACCATTGTATCCCTATAGCATGGCTGTAAGCAGGATCACACTACAGGATTGTCTTGTCTAGACTCCAGGGTGACGTGATGGTGTACCATTGTATCCCTATAGCATGGCTGTAAGCAGGATCACACTACAGGATTGTCTTGTCCAGACTCCAGGGTGATGTGATGGTGTACCATTGTATCCCTATAGAATGGCTGTAAGCAGGATCACACTACAGGATTGTCTTGTCCAGACTCCAGGGTGACGTGATGGTGTACCATTGTCTCCCTATAGCATGGCTGTAAGCAGGGTCACACTACAGGATTGTCTCGTCCAGACTCCAGGTAAACAACAAACCCCTGACCTGCATAGAGAAACTGACTTCTCATATTGAATTGTTTGAGTTTGTTGATGCTGCTGTCAGCAAGGTGTGAGCTATGTCATGACGACCTGTAAAGTATCGAGTCTGGACCGAGTAAACCAGTGGTCGACAGCATGAACAGCACCGCACAATCAGCCATGTTGCAGAGTCTGATAATCTCATATCCATTAAAGATGGTTCATACAGCTTGATGGATTGGGGCCCTCCGCTTCTGTCTGTTCGCCAGTTTGCGGGTTGGGGTAGCCTAATGGTTAAAGTGTCCGCTCGTCATGCTGGAGACCTGGTGTGAAGCCAAGTTCTGGTATCCCCCACTGTGATATTGCAGGAATATTGTTAAAAGTGGCGTAAAACCATACTCGCTCACTGTCTGTGTTAGCACTGATCTTCAGCACCCCAGCCCTGCCAGGATTGGTACAGTATGCTATGTTTATAGCAAAACACTTATAACAAACATGCTATAACCAACTGTTTTTGTGGTCCTGCTTACTGTCATTTCTGTTGAAATGCTTACATCAGACTAAAGTTAGTGTTGATGACTTGAGTTTGTTATAACTGTAGTTCACTGTGTCTACACTGATGTACTAAGATCCTGTTGCATGTATCTCCACAGGGTGCTACCCCTTCTATAGTGACGACCCATTTATCATCAACCACTGCCCTCATGTCTACTTCGCCGGCAATTGTAAGGAGTACGGAACCAAGATGTTTAAAGGTAGCGTATGTTGCATAATATAGACACCTGGTCTAATGACAGCGATGAAAGACAAAACAACTTCTTCACATAACCCCGTAGTGGTGTACCTAGCATGGATGAAACATAGATGTTATGTTACCATTTGGACACCATTAAGGAGTTCCTGATAATCCAGCAGACTGGCATTCAAAAGTAATTTTGAAAATAACATATCTAGAATCTTGTGATATACAGTCGAACCCCGTTTATGCGGACATTTTGGTTACACTCGGTCTGGATAGCGAGGCGTCTGGTTAACTGGATCAAACAAGCAAAACGTATTGACGATGTATATTGAAAATATATTCATGTACAGTACAATTACAATGTAGTTACTAGTAATCCTAATCCTAATTAACACGTGTTTTCATTATTGATGAGATGTTCTCACACCTGCCAAATCCTAATTAACAACTGAAGTGACAGACATCCCTAGTGTTTTGATGGGTAATTAATCAATTCACATCAAACGCCTGCCGAGAGATTAACAAATGAAGACACTTAGTCATGCAGTAAACATACACATGCACATGCACACAGATCTTTCTGTCTGGATAACAGGATCATTTTTCAATGGAAATCTATGGAAACGGTTTCAAAACTCTCCGTAAGGGTCCGGAAGCGCAGGGTCTGGCTAAGAAAGTACAAATACTGAAGCTAAGTTTTGTTTCACAAAAAAATCGTCCGGAAGGCAGGGTTTCCGGATATACGGGGTCCGAGTAAATGAGGTTCGACTGTAGTAAGAAGATATCATGCCATCATGACATTGCAGGAGGAATTAGTTATTCATGTGACATTGTAGTGTTTAGATTCAGGATCAGTAGCTACATCCTGGCTTTAAACTCAATGTTTTATGGTAATAATTTTAACACAGTTTAAGAACTGTGTCGTCTCATGCTTTGTATGTTCTGTCTGCCGGCAGGTCCTAATGGGCAGGAAGTTGTCCTGGTGTCAATCCCACGGTTCAGCCAGACGTCAACTGCAGTCCTTGTCAACCTCCGCAGCCTGGAGTGCCAGCCGATCAGTTTTGATGCTCATTTCCCCGGTCCGACAGAGGCCAGCCCAGAGGTCGATAAATGAGACTGTGAAGACGGTGTTGCTTGTTTATTGTTTTACCGGGACAAGAATATCTTGAGATGATTGTGAACAGTTTTGCAGAGACAAGAACACCTGGTGTTCACAAGCAAATGAAGTGCTACAGGGACATGAACAGATTCTCTGGACACCAAATGTTATTTCTTTATTTCATTATGAGTTCTTAGTGATTAGGAAGTCAAAGGTCTACAGCTGGGCTTAAATATTCCACTTCTACATTCAAAACTACTCAGGAAAGACTTCCAGACAACGTTCCTGACACCAATGTAAATATTTAAACATGCATATTGCATTTTGTTCTAATGGGTTATTATCTTGAATAATTATGTAAATAAGGGTACTTTGAATGAATTAGAATGGTCTTTGTACAGCTTATGTGAGAACAAGAATACTTTTAGTAAGACGAATTGCTGATGTGTTATGTGTTGGACTAGGTGTTACTTCTGTAAGAATGGTTTCTGAGTCTCATGGCTATGAACTTCGTGAGGAAAAGAGAAGTCAATGTATGGTTCTGTCCGACCAATGTTGATATGTTTACTGCACTGTATCTGTGCTCATGGATATCACCAAAATAGTTAAAAATCTACAACCTGCATCAGGTTCCTCCGGAATAGCGGGGATGTGACATGATAAAACTTGAAATAAGTTTGAACTCGCTCACTCACCAACTTCAACATACCTGTCAAGGTCTGGGTTAAAATGTCTTCAGCAAACTATGTGTGTTGTAATAGACGAACAGGGCTCGCTGACCTGGTTGAGACATGTCATCGTATCCTAATTGCTTTGGACCGCCTCCGAGGTGTAGTGGTTAGAGCGTCCGCCCAGAGAGCGGAAGGTCGCGGGTTCAATCCAAAAGACGTTAAAATATGGTACTTGTTGGTCCCTACCTGGCGCTCGGCATTAATGGGTACATCAAGGACTGGTCGGCTCGGAGTCAGTATAATGTGTCTGAGTGGGGTATTCATGCTTCACTGCGGGCATGGTATCTCAGTGGGCTAGCACTATAACACCAGCTTCAGTCTGGGCTAGTACAAGCAGCCGCACATACACATACACATGCATGCACATCGTCATATGAGTGAAATATTCTCAAGCACAACGTTAAACCCAATTTCACCTCACCTCACCTAATTGCTGTAATCGATGTTCATGGTGTTGATCACTGGATTGTCTGGTCCGGACTCTATTATTTACAGACTAGCACCATATAGCTGGAATATTGCTGAGTGCAGTGTTAAACAAAAAACAAACCAAGCCAAGTTGAACAAACATAAGATGGTGAAAGCATCTCTGTACAGTAAGTGGGAAGACGTGTACCATTACTTCAACTGTTTGTAAGCAGCAGTACACTGAATATGATTAGTTTACCCAATGTGGCAACACCTACACAGATAAGACTTTACTCTGTCTTGTTACGTCTCATATCAAGGAGAGCCAAGTAATATTTTCCTTTCTGCTTTTTAACTGAGCATGAGAGTATGGTTTTACACTGCTGTTGGCAGTGGTCCAGCAGTATAACAGCGGAAATAGGCTTCACACATAGTACTCATCTTAAACGTGGGTGTTGGCGTTTACCCACTAGCTACCACACCACATTACTTGAACTGTATAACAGAGTGAACTATGAAGACCTGTCATGTATTAAGTGGGATTCAAGGGGAAGGGGGAGGTCTCAATAAAACAAGGTAATCTTGAAGGGATGGCTTTATAAAACACACACACACACACACACACACACACACACACCGTCATGATAAAGGATACCATTATTTACTACAGGGGTTGAGATTTCATCCTATTATATAAAAATGTGGCTGTAGTCCTGTCAATGGATATATCAAAAGTAAAAATAGTGGTGATAAGGTTTTCATGTGAAGCAATGTGACTTTTCAAGCAGATGATATTCTGTGATATTGTTCACATATACTGTAGCATCTGACAGGGGAACATATACTCCTCATTAACGTAATGTTCTAGTTTGGTATTTAAGGAATGTTAAAACCTGTTAATGTTTCCAGGTTTTTTGTGTCAGTCTAGTTTCACTTGTCATTTGTGTTGTGTTGGCAAAACCTGAACCCCATCTGCCACAATGAAGACCTGAAACCCCATCTGCCACGATGAAGGCCTGAACCCCATCTGCCGCAATGAAGGCCTGAACCCCATCTGTCACAATGAAGGCCTGAACCCCATCTGCCGCAATGAAGGCCTGAACCCCATCTGTCACAATGAAGACCTGAACCCCATCTGCCACAATGAAGACAACCCCAGGCCTGAAGGCCCCATCTGTCACAATGAAGGCCTGAACCCCATCTGCCGCAATGAAGGCCTGAACCTCATCTGCAGCAATGAAGGCCTGAACCCCATCTGCCGCAATGAAGGCCTGAACTACATCTCCCACAATGAAGGCCTGAACCCCATCTGCCGCAATGAAGGCCTGAACCCCATCTGCCGCAATGAAGGCCTGAACCCCATCTGTCACAATGAAGGCCTGAACCCAATCTGCCACAATGAAGACCTGAACCCCATCTGCCACGATGGAGACATGAACCCCATCTGCCACAATGAAGGCCTGAACCCCATCTGCCGCAATGAAGGCCTGAACCCCATCTGTCACAATGAAGACCTGAACGCCATCTGCCACGATGGAGACATGAACCCCATCTGCCACAATGAAGGCCTGAACCCCATCTGCCGCAATGAAGGCCTGAACCCCATCTGTCACAATGAAGGCCTGAACCCCATCTGCCGCAATGAAGGCCTGAACCCCATCTGTCACAATGAAGGCCTGAACCCCATCTGCCACAATGAAGGCCTGAACCCCATCTGCCGCAATGAAGGCCTGAACCCCATCTGTCACAATGAAGGCCTGAACCCCATCTGCCGCAATGAAGGCCTGAACCTCATCTGCAGCAATGAAGGCCTGAACCCCATCTGCCGCAATGAAGGCCTGAACTACATCTCCCACAATGAAGGCCTGAACCCCATCTGCCGCAATGAAGGCCTGAACCCCATCTGCCGCAATGAAGGCCTGAACCCCATCTGTCACAATGAAGGCCTGAACCCAATCTGCCACAATGAAGACCTGAACGCCATCTGCCACGATGGAGACATGAACCCCATCTGCCACAATGAAGGCCTGAACCCCATCTGCCGCAATGAAGGCCTGAACCCCATCTGCCGCAATGAAGGCCTGAACTACATCTTCCACAATGAAGACCTGAACTACATCTGCCACAATGAGACTTGAACTACATCTGCCACAAAGAAGACTTGTGCCCCATCTGTCACAATGAAGACCTGAACCCCATCTGCCACAAAGAAGACTTGTGCCCCATCTGTCACAATGAAGACCTGAACCCCATCTGCCACAAAGAAGACTTGTGCCCCATCTGTCACAATGAAGACCTGAACCCCATCTGCCACAAAGAAGACTTGTGCCCCATCTGTCACAATGAAGACCTGAACCCTGTCTGCCACAATGAAGACTTGAACCCCATTCATATGGCTGTATTATGAAAACCTGTACACATAAATGCAAACCATTGAAACTTTGGTGCCAAACAAATTGTTCCAAACAATTACTGATAGCTTCTGTTTCACATCAATGATGGCTGGACTTACAGGTTCTGAGAAGTGTATGTGTATGTAATGCAGCAGGTCAAATATGTTTTTGTTTATCTTTTATTCATTTATAATTTCTATTGTTTTATCAAAACAGTTAAATCCATCCTGGTAATTACGCTTCACGATTACTCTCCTTGTGGCATAATTACTAATTTTGGATGGAAATTATTGATAATCTCAATTAAGTGTTGGCAGTATGGGTGATCCAGTATCTGGGGCTGTTGTTTTTCTGTGGCGAGTTGTGTCCCTTTGAGGACATCAGTAACCTATGATTGTCTGTTCAAATTCTGTTTTGGCCCGATTATGTTTCCACCTTGTCAGCGTCATTCATGTTGTTTTCACCAAAGTGAAGACATGATATCTGGATCCCTTTGTGCTTCTGCTTCCACGTTAAGCTGACACACCTTTAATAAAACAGTAATATTGGTCAGATGCCTTAAACCAGCCACTCTAGTAGCGATGGCTTTGCCTCTATTGCTCCTCTGTAACTTCAGCTGTGGCTGTATGGAGACCATGTCATTTTGGGGATTATGGTTTCTCAGTAAAGTACAGATTCTAGTACTTTTGTTGGATATCTATCTATCCCATCTAACCCACTCAGCCAGCGCTGCTACCAGTTGTCCTGCTTCCATTTTGTGCTGGCTGAGTGGGTTAGTGTGCTGGAGATTAGGTGCCTGACTCCGATTGTGTGGGTTCGAATCCCGGAATGGACTCAATCAAACAAAAGTACTAGAATCTGTACTTAACTGAAAAAGTGTTATCCCAAATATAACTTCCCCACTTTCTTAATTGCATTGTGTATCCATAATGCATCGAAATCATTGCACTGACACGTCACCTGTACATCCCTGAACACCTGACAAGATGTGCTAACTTCACAAGTAGATACTGATTCTGAGGTAGAACAGATCCCGAGTGGCCCACGAGCCTCGTGAGAGCCTGTAAGTGAATTGCCTCTTGCGTGTACTTGCATATAATGACTTTCCTAGAGCCCAGGTGGCGGTCATGTCGGGCTGTGTACCTCATCCAGGAGATGGTACTTACTGTATCACCAGGCTGGGGCTGCAATATTAATGCATGCACTACAGCCATGCAGTCATACATCGATGTGGGGTACCCAAGATGAGATTCGTAAATTAAAGTAGGAAATGAACGCCTTGTATACACATTCATTCACTCACAACTGCCTTAACATCTGGGTGGGAATAATATGATCCGCATTGTTTTGCTCATTACATTTAATTTAATGCTATTTGCCTTTTAGATGTGCCTATGTTACGCTTCTAGCTAAGTTTAATATGTTGGCAATGTGTTATGGCAAATATTTCTCAATCAATTCTACACTTTGTTACATTGTTCAAGAGGTTGCCAGCTACCTTTAATCACAATAAATGTTTACTTATCGCTTACTTTCGGGGAGAAAAATGTCAACCACAAATAATACGTCCCTTACGCCTATTTCTGTTTTAGTTATTTTAAGCCACCTAAAGGCTCTCCCATTAATTGGTTTTGCGACAATTTGGTCTCACTTGATGCCCAAATACAATAACGATTGTATACATGACTTCTAAAAAAACCTATATAACATACAATCTCAATTACCAGCTACACTCTGCTCGCCTCCCTCTTACGCAGTTTCATGTGATTATCAGCATAACCCGCGTGGGCCCGAGTACTCAACGTCATATTAATGCCAGGTTTATGTCCGCCGAGGGATTCGCCACCATGCGTCCATTCCACGGTCTGCAGCAACGAGTTAAAGTGTGCGCCGGAATGTAGGTCGGTACGACCTCAATTTTTACCAAGCGCTTCTCGTCTGACAACTTACCACCAGTGTGTAGACTCTCACTGTTAGACACGCGATGGAGAACAAACCAGGGAAGCACAGATGTAAAGCTTTATTTCTCGTCGTAATCTTCAGGCAGTTGATGTTGATCGTCTCGGACGAAGTGTTTACGGAACAGACACCTGATGGTGCGAAGCTGTCGTGTTCCCAGTGGTCGTGTACAAAAAACACACATCAAACACAACTCTTCGCTTCACGGGGATACTTCACCTCGGTGGGGTGTGCCTGTGACCAATATTGTGGGACTGTGGGAGACTGTTGCATGGATTATAATTCAACCTCAGATGCTGAGGTGCCAGAGGCACTTTCTGGTATGGAAACCTACGTCAGCTGTCTACAAGACCCGACTGTGGCCAAGAAGGACGGGATTTTAGCTGTAGCCAGCTGTCCCCAAAGCTGGTTCGGATCTGAGACTGAGGAATTATGCAAGTCTAAAAGTGACAGGGATCTGATGCTGAGACTACCAGTTACAGGGAATCGTACCGGTCTTGTGTACCGCAACTTGTACTGCGCTAGGTGCCACGACGAACCCTATCAGTTGTGGCAACCCACTGTAGACTGCCAATCCTGGACGCCTTTGAATCTTAATGCTGGATCAAAAATGAGCGAAATGCTTGACAACCCCGACTGCAGCCTTAGATCACTTCCGCCGCACAAAGATGGGTATTATCGCCCCTGTATACCTGATGCCATTAAACAGTGTGACCCTGATTACGAAGACGCTGATATTGCGTCTAGATGTGAGAGCAGTACCCACATGCAGCCTGTGTTCTATTATAATGGTTTGACGTTTTATAATGCTGAGTGCGCACAATGTAATAATTACCATTCGCTGTTGTGTATCAAACCAGGAAGCGGACCTACTGGGGGCTGGAAATCGTATTCTTTCTCAATTCTGTTTGATTTGAATACCAACACTGGATCCATGACGGTAGGATCCACCACAGAAGTAGTGCAAAAAGAGGTGAATATCACTCACACATGTTCCTCTTCACAAGTGTATGACCCATTTATTCAGCAATGTCGTCGTGTCTATACAGCTGACGTGTTGGATTTTAATCCTAACAATTCAACGGCGAACATCACCATTGATTGCCCAAGACTTCAGTTAAATGCAAGTGAGTTTGCCATTTCTGAAAACGGCACCTTGGAGACTAAATCGGGGTACGTGTACGATAAAACGGAATATGATTTCGATGGAGTATATGCATACGTATGTACAAATTTGACGCAGAATTTTACAGAAACTGTCCCGTTCATTGACACAAAGATAGCATTTAATTTTACACTAACAGCAGGTATAGTAACCTCAGTAGGATTAATTGTGTCGTTGTTGGGACTGCTTGCCACGATCAGTGTATATGCCGTCATAAAAACACTGAGAAATATTCCTGGGAAAATACTCCTCTCTCTAACCACCTCGTTGTTCTTTGCCAACCTGACTGTGCTTCTCGCGCCGCTTGCAGAAAGTCATCCAACATCATGTGAAGCTGTCGCGGCATTAATGCACTATCTGTTCCTGGACGCATTCTTGTGGATGAACGTAATGGCGGCAGACGTGTGGTTCACATTTTCCAAGAGTTTTGTCAAGGCGGGCGATGGTGGGAAGTCGTCGAAGAGGTTCCTATTTTACAACGTTTATGTCAGGGGAGTTGCCCTCGTTCTTGTAACGGCAGCCGTAACTGTCGACAACGTGGTCTCTGAAAGTCAATTTAAGCCCAATTACGGACGTGGGTTATGCTGGATAACAAACAAACGAGGCCTGCTTGTGTTCTTTGCCGTGCCTTTGTTTATTCTCATTTGTCTCAACTTCGGGTTTTTTTCCATTGCGTCCAAGAATATAGTGGATACTGAAAAACAATCTGCCGCCTATTTGGGCAAAGGTGTTGATTTCAAATTTCGTATTTGTGCTAAACTGGCTGTTGTGATGGGCTTGACGCTGATGCTGGGGTTCCTGGCGTCTATGTTTCCCTACACTGTTATCTGGTACACGTACATTATTTTTAACACTTTCCAGGGCTTGTTTGTATGTGTTGCGTTTGTGTGTACCAGAAAGGTGTTCAATTTACTTCGGGACTGGTTTAGTAATCTTCGGGTATGCCCTGCCGCTTCTGACAGACAACCCTCCAGCCCGACCCGTAGCACTGATGTCTAAACAGAAGAGGCCCGATCGAGTTGTGAGGTTATCGGTACTCAAACGGTAGCTGCAAGAACTTGCATCCGATGCAGTATCAGTAAACACGAATAGGTAAATATTGTTCACAGTGGTGATATATATGCACTGAAACAAAAGGTTCTGTATCATATATATATATTTGTAGATATTTTATGAATCTGTGTGCTCTGTCTTCAGTATAATGATCCCACTTGTTCCATAAAGTGTCTAAAAGCGACAACGAATACACTCAACTACGGTTATAACGAATTCAAATGGAGCATTACGTTTCGTGGTGGACACTATTTGGACTAAAAAATACAAGTGATCGAGTGAAAAGACAGTTTGTTATAACCGTCAGTTTGTTATATGCTTTTGTAATGACGACTGAAACACAATTTCATGAAAGGCATCCTTTCCCTGTTTTGCTCAGTACACGGTGGACAGGTGGGGCGGTGGTTAAGGCGTTCGCTCGTCACGCTGAAGACCCGGGTTCGATTCCCCACATGGGTACAATGTGTGAAGCCCATTTCTGGTGCCCCCCGCCGTGAAATTGCTGGAATATTGCTAAAAGCGGCGTAAAACCCACTCACTCACTCACCCAGTGCACTGGGGGTGGGGGTATTCTTTGGTAATTTAGAGCGAAGAGTGTGAAGTGTTGTAAAGGAGATATTGAATGAACGACTTAAGATGGAAACGGTTGTGAAATGTATCCACTCAAGATACCCATCGCAATATGCTTAAAACATTTTGTGTTTGTGGATTTCATTGATATGTCGTATATGAAGGTTTTCATTGTTTTCCGTGTACATTCCCTGTATACAGTGTTTCCATTTCCGCGTTCAAGGCACATGGTAGTGTGTAGACATAGTCACAAACATGCTCCACAATGATAATGTGTTGTTACATCAGATATATTACGCTTAGAATAATAAATAAATTAATAATCTTAATGTATTTGTAATTTGCGTCAATTTGTAATCTCCTCATTATGCCTATATCATCTCCTTCATCTCATAAGTGTCACAGGACCAGTGTTGTAGCCTAGTGGTTAAAGCGTTCGCTCCTTACGCGGAATACCCAGGTTCGAAGCCCCACATGGGTACAATGTGCGAAGCTCATTCCTGGTGTTATCACTTATTAAGTGTTACACTTGTAACATGCCTTATAGCAACGAGTTTAAACGCATCAAGGGGACAGTTGAAATGCAAATGTCTAACAAGATGCTGAATGTGACAAAATGTATCATATTTCTTGATGATTTGTCGCGTCCTATTAAAAGACGTTATAATATGGTACTTGTTGCCTTGCCTGCTCGGTCTGTTTTAATGGATTGGTTGGGCTGGCTGAAAGACTATTAACGTGTCTGAGTGTGTTACTCATTATATAATATGTGGAAAGGCATCGAAGTGGGGTAGCACTATGGAATCAACATTAGACGGGATGAATAGAAACAAGTCTAGACAATTTATTGTCTAGTTATAGAATGCTTGTTATTGTTTAACATTGTATTCTGAAATATTCGGGCTGTATGACTGCGACCTGATGATAGTCGGGTCACTACCAAACAAGTGAGTGAGTGGGTTTAGTTTTACGCCGCCTTAAGCAATGTTCCAGCAATATCACAGCGGGGGACACCAAAAATGGGCTTCACACATTGTACCCATGTGGGGAATCGAACCCGGGTCTTTAGCGTACCTTTACTTTATTACACAATCTGAGGCTGTAATGTCACCACAATCACGTACCTGTATTGTATAACACATCTGAATCTGAGATATCACCTACCTGTATTGAATAACACAATTTGAAGCTGGAATATCACCAGAATCACCTACCTGTATTGAATAACACAATCTGAAGCTGGAATATCACCACAATCACCTACCTGTATTGAATAACACATCTGAGGCTGAGATATCACCACAATCACCTACCTGTATTGAATAACACAATCTGAAGCTGGAATATCACCACAATCACCTACCTGTATTGAATAACACATCTGAGGCTGAGATATCACCACAATCACCTACCTGTATTGAATAACACAATCTGAAGCTGGAATATCACCACAATCACCTACCTGTATTGAATAACACATCTGAGGCTGAGATATCACCACAATCACGTACCTGTACTGTATAACACATCTGAGGCTGAGATATCACCACAATCACGTACCTGTACTGTATAACACATCTGAGGCTGAGATATCACCACAATCACAATCAGTTACCTGTACTGCATAACGCAATCTACAGGTTCGTTACAGTGCAGGCGAGTGTATCTGATATAACAGAATACAACTAGTTTAAAACAACAGGGTATTGCTAATTTAGACCGAAAGGGTATTGCTGGTGTATAGTATGAGTATAGCTAGCTTATACCTGCCGGGCACAGCGAGTGTAAAACAACATAGCATAGCTAGTTCCAGCAGTATATCGTGGTCATTTTATGGTCCTAGTTATCAGGGGCGGTGGGGTAGCCTAGTGGTTAAAGCGTTGGCTCGTCACGCCGAAGGCCCGGGTTCGATTACCCGGATGGGAACAATGTGTGAAGCCCATTTCTGGTGTCCCCCGCCGTGATATTGCTGGAATATTGCTAAAAGCGGCATAAAACCCAACTCACTCACTCACTCACTCCTAGCTATCAATGTACTGCTGCTATTAAAGTGTTACATAGCAAGGTTTGTGTAGCTCTTGGTGCTGCCTCTGACACGTTACACCACACCAAATGTCTACACACATATTAACTTCATTTCCTTTACTCTAAATGACTTTTCCAAGTTGTTTATTTGGTTCTTTAGATCCCGGGGCTGAGTTCTGCAGGTGCGGTATAAATAGCCCCCAGTTCGGCGTCGGAAGATCTTACGTGTCAGGTCAAGGAGAAGGGTCGTGTGCAAACCATTTACCTTCAACAGACATACCAACTGATACTGTTATGTGCTAAGGAGCTCTGCGTCGTAAAGGAATCATATTACAAAATCATTAGAAAAGTTGCTTTCTGTAATATAATTGCGATGTTCAGGTGTTTCCAATTCATTATCTCCGCATACAGATACCGGGGAGTCCAATTATACTGTAGACCGTTTGAAAAAATTAATGACAAAACGATGCTGTTTTTAGTATGCTGCAAAAAGGTTTATACTGGTTTCTCACAGCTAACAATTCAGCTATATTGTATTAAAAAATAAAAATTGTTTCATTATTCAATGTTGACCTGTAGCGAATAAAATGAACTTAAAGTTTACACACACAGAAGATATTTGAAAAGTCGATAATATATACAGTACCCCCACAACCGTCTCAACCGTCCGGTCTTACAGCCGTGCAAGAAATGGACGCTATCCATATCATGGTAATAGCTCCGTTACTGTTGGTTTGGTTGAGTTGTTGTTTAACGCCGTACTCAGCAATATTCCAGTTTGATGGATGGTCTGTAAATAATCGAACTGGGCCAGACAATGCGGTGATCAACAGCATGAGCATCGATCTAAGCAATTTGGATACAATGACATATATCAACCTAGTCAGCGAGCCTGACCACCCGATCCCGTTAGTCGCCTCTTACAACAAGCATTGGGTGCTGAAGACCAATTCTAACCCGGATCTTCTAACACGGGTTCTGTAAATCTCTGCCACTGGTGAAGGTGCGGTGAGGTGACATAACTTATAACGTCATTTCATTACACTTAAATACCCACGTGTATGTGGGTCGGTCTTCTTGTGTTACTGGGATACCATGCCGCAGTTTGAAATGAACGCAACCAACTCACAGATACTATAACGGACTCGTTAGTCTATGAGTGAGTGAGTTTTACGCCGCTTTTAGCAGTATTCCAGCAATATCACGGCAGGGGACACCAGAAATGAGTTTCACATATTGTAACCATGAAGGGAATCGAACCCGGGTCTTCGGTGTCACGAGCGAACGCTTTAACCACTAGGCTACCCCGCCGCCCCTATATTTATGCCCCAGCGCCAGGTGATCTCTTTTGACATGACACCCCCGGGATAGAACCACAGACCTTCCGCGCTCCGGGCAGACACTCCGTCCACCACACCACGCTGACAGAGAAGAAGGACGAAAACAACACGAAAACTGCCAATAACCTTCACCTATCTAATCTACTCATCATTACGAAGCTACAGGATGAATTCACTGGAAGTGAAGGCCACTGAACTGATTGATGTCAAGCAAAACTCCGGAAATAGTTCTCACTTGTGGAAGGCGAGAATCACAGCGCAAGGCCGAGCTGTTCTCTGCTCTATTCACAGCTGAGTCCTTGAGCCGAGGTATTTTCATTTACGATCAGCCTCGCCAAACCTGTCCCAATTAGTGACAGCGATATCTTTTAAAGCATACATTGCTGCCAGGATATCTAGGTGGTCTTCGTTGCTACTAATTTGACGGGAGATAACCAACATAGCTTCTTAATGGAGTCCGAATTGCATCCGTCAAAGCAACACTGAACCCGGGGAGAAGGGGCAGTGTCTGTTGCCAGGGGGAGAAGGGGCAGTGTCTGTTGCCAGAGGGGGAGTGGGCAGTGTCTGTTGCCAGAGGGGGAGTAGGCAGTGTCTGTTGCCGGAGGGGAGTGGGCAGTGTCTGTTGCCAGAGGGGGAAGGGGCAGTGTCTGTTGTCAGAGGGGGAAGGGGCGGTGTAATTCTGAGTGTTGTTTTATGCCGCTTCAAACTGCATTTCAGGTGGGGGCCCGCCAGGTCGACATTTGAGCCAAATGGACATGCAGTTCACCACTTTCTGAATTTACTTTGCAAAATGACTGCTTTTTAAAGGAATGATATATTTACCAAACCATTCTCAATCATGGCTCACGCCATCATTCATTGTATGTTTAAGTGAGTGAGTGAGTGAGTTTAGTTTTACGCCGCACTCAGCAATATTCCAGCTATATGGTGGCGGTCTGTAAATAATCGAGTCTGGACAAGAGAACCCAGTGATCAACAGCATGAACATCGATCTGCGCAATTGGGAACGATGACATGTGTCAACCGTCAGCGAGCCTGACCACCCGAAACCCGTGAGTCGCCTCTTACGACAAGCATGGGTCACTGAAGATCAATATTCTAACCCAGACCTCCACGGGTATAGAATGTTTAAGTATATGTTTGAAGCATTTAGCCTGTATCCTTTCAGTCTTTGGTCTGTATACTAAGACCGCTATACTTCCAATTACAATTGATAAAATCATTTTATCATGTACGTTTTTGTCGTTGCTGTATTTGCATATACACACACGCAGAAAGATGTTGGAGTTGTTAGTAGACCTCTTCAACTTGTATTTGTTGATGCTCATGCCAGATTACTGACTGACTGACTGAGTTTGGTTTTACGCCGCATTTAGCAATATTCCAGCAACATCACGGCGGGGGACACCAGAAATGGGCTTCACACATTGTACCCATGTGGGGATTCGAACCCGGGTCTTAGGCGTGACGAGCCAACGCTTTAACCACTAGGCTACCCCACCGGCCCTTCATGCCAGATTAGTTCTGGCGTAAATGATAAACCTAGGAAAGAAGAGAGCGTCTATTTGACTTCCTCTGTTAGGACAATTGTCGTAGTGCTGTACTGGTCCTCAATTTCTGAAAACTAATATTTATTTTTTTTGTGGTCATTAAAGGCTATGCCCCACCACATAACATAGTTATCTGCCCCTGTAAGCTCCCTGTATTGTCGATTAGCCTAGTGGTTAAAGCGTCCGCTCGTCACGCCGAACACCGGAGTTCGATTCCCCACATGGGTACAACGTGAGAAGGCTGTTTCTTTTGTTTCC